AAAAAAAAATCCAAGAAAGAAAAACAAACAAACCACCTATTGACAACAAGACAGAAATCATCGTAGAAGAAGAAAAACATACTGAAAGACTAGACAAACAATAGATAAAAAACTTAAATGACATATAGAGGTATAGAATAAGCTTAAAATTTTTGTATAATCCTAAATCATGTGAGTAAACAGATGGAAAATGTAAAGTTACTTTTTTGATATTTTAATATATAATGCATCAAAAAGTAATTTTTATATCACAATATATAGAAATATATGGTCTATTACTTAGTTCTAGACAATAAAAATAATAACAAGTAAAAATATATAATTTCTTAATAAATATATTATAATAAATTTATATTACAGATATTGATATTACTAAAAATTTATATATTAATATCAAAAATTTTTTAAATAAAAATTCTTGATATAAAAGCTAATATTTATTATATAAATATAACCCTCTTCAGAGTTAGTTATTTGGCACAATTACAAGTTCTAAAATAATTAATCATTAATTGTAAGCTCTAAATAATTAATTATATAAAGATTATACTATGATTACTTTAGAACTTGTAAGGGGCATGCCAGAAATCACATAATATTTTTTACTTAGTAGCCACCCCCATCCATGTATGGTGTGATCACCTCTAGCTTGATTCTGATTGGCTGATTTAATTAATTATTAAAATCTTCTTAATATTTTTAAAATTAAATAACTTTTGATCTACTGGTCTGATTTGGATGATTTAATTGTCAAAATGTTTATCTTGATGAGACGATTCTAATGAGTTCAAAATTGCTAAAATCCAATCACAGAATCATGAGATCACTAAGGTTTTTGTACTATTTTGTATATAATAAAATTAATTTTATTATATACAAAATAGTATAAGAAACTTTAACGATCTCAGGATCCTGTAATTAGATTTTAGTGATTTTGGACTCATTAGAATTGTCTCTTCAAGATGAACATTTTGATAGTTAAATCATCCAAATCAGACTAGTAGATCAAAGGTTATTTAATATTAAAGATTTATTAAAATATATATATAATTTATATATTATATATTTCATTATATGGGGGAAATCAATAGAAAAGGGACAAATTTTTTCTAAGTAAAAGTTTTTCTAACTTTAAACTTAAATATCTCAACAACTATCTAATCAAATTTAATAAATTTTTTTATTTTAATTCTATATAATTTCAAGATTAAAATAAAAAAATTTTTATCAAATTTGATTAGATAGTTGTTAAGATATTTTAATTTAAAAATTAAAAAAATTTTACTAAAATGATTTGTCCCTTTTTTATTGACTTCCCCCCATATTTGATTATATACTATATTATATATATATATATATACATGATTTCTTGTTTGACCATGTATTAATAGTATAAATCATGTGATTTCTGGTACTTCTCTAATTGTTTTAGTTATTTGGCACAATTACAAGTTCTAAAATAATTAATCATTTGATAATTGCAAACTCTAAAATAATCAATCATATAAAGATTATACTATAATTACTTTAGAACTTATAATTGTCAAATAGCTGATTTTAGAAGTAATTATATTTCTGTAATAAGTGTCAGTTTCTTATTTATAATATCAGAATTTTATCTAAATATTTCTGATATCAATATATCTATAATTATATTATATTATAAATATATAACTAAATTTAGCTATAATAATATTAGAAATTTTTTAATTAAAAATTCTTGATATTAGTATATAATTAATATTACATATTAATATCAAAATTTTTTATTGATAAAAAATTCTTGATATTACTTGTATAAAATATAGCATGATATATAAAAAATATTGTAATTTCTTAATTGATATTAATGTAATTAAAATATCATTTATTTTGTCAATTCTTATTTCATTTATATATTTTGTGAAGAATACATCAATTTATTTTATAACAAAACATAATTTTCAAGTATTTTGTAAAGAATACATCAATTTATTTTAGGAGCATGCCATTTATTATATAATATTTTTTACTTAGTAGCCACCCCATCTATGTATAGTATAATTACTCTAGCTTGATTCTGATTAGCTATTTAATTAATTATTAAAATCTTCTTAATATTTTTAAAATTGAATAACTTTTGATCTACTGGTCTATTTTAAACAATTTAACTGTCAAAATATTCATCTTGATGAGACAATTCTAATAAGTTTAAAATTACTAAAATCTAATCACAGAATCCTAAGATCATTGAGGTTTTTTGTACTATTTCATATATAATAAAATTAATTTTATTATATACAAAATAGTACAAGAAACTTTAACGATCTTAGGATCCTGTAATTGAATTTTAGCAATTTTAGACTTATTAAAATTGTCTTATTAAGATAAATATTTTGATAGTTAAATCATCCAAATTGAACCAGTAGATCAAAAGTTATTTAATATTAAAGATTTATTAAAATATATATATATAATTTATTTTTTTTTTTTAATAATTCAGCAATCTGCTCCAGTTTATTTAAGATTAAAACTATTCAAAAATTATATATAATCTTATCTATAGCTATATTTATCTAACTAAACATAAGGCTCATCAAGCTTATACTCAATATGACTTGCCTCAGTAGCCATTAGCCTTCTTTAAGATTTCCAACTTTCTAGGGACTTTTTTTTCTGCAGTTGTTAGCTGGCGACTATATGCCTTGTCAGAACTACCTAATTATATTTATAATTTACAATATAAATATACTTTGGCCATAGCCAGTACTTGTGAACAATGTTAAGTATTAAATCGCTACTATTATGTTATATATATTCTAATATAATACTTCTAATAACAGCTTTAATAAGGGTGTAGCAATATAGAGTAGTGGTTAAATTGTCATCTCTCAAGTGGCAGGTCTAGAGTTTGATTCCTACCAGAGATGTTTTTCGAAAAATAGGCTTGTGTTCTGGTAACATTTATTCAATAATCGATTGGGTATATCATCTGTAATCTTGGTACTACTATCTTGATATGGAAGCTTTAAAGCAATTCAAATTTAAGAAACTGAAATATTTGAAATCTGTTTGGCAAAACTCGAACTAGGAGTAGTAAAGATCTTTAACAATACTATGGAAAATTAGAACTGGTGACCGAAGAACTGGATAAACAACCTTAGGGCAAGAAGGGTCTACCAATCTGATCACTAGAGTCACACCAGAGAAAAAGGTCTGATGCTACGGAATTCAGAACCAAAAGAAGTAAAACCAAAAGATACTTAGAGCCTAGGTACAACAACCTATCTAGATTAACTGGTTTGGTAGTCAGGAAGGGATTGGTAGAAAGGCTGATTGGAAGTAGGTATTGGGGTCAGAATAAACCTTGTAAGAGCAAGAAGTAGGTTACAGTAGTGGTGCAGAAGATCTAGAATAACTGGCATGGCTAAAAAATATTGTGTACTATATAGCATACTAACTGCTAAAGTTCATACCAGGATACTACTCTAGCATGCCATTAAACCACATAATAATATACTCAATTGGATTGGTCAGTTATTATCTACTATAAAATAATCTTTCGGAATACTTTGGAGTATTGCTTCAATTTTCCTTTCAGAATTTATATTATTTTATTTTTTATTCAGAATCTTTCAGAATTTATATAAATGGCATGCCTATAGACAATCTGGGTATTAGGCATGTCTATAGCATACCACTATAGGCATGCCACCCTGGTATGCCAATGACCTTTGTGCTACTCACCCTAAGAAGATCACAAGTTCTAGTTCTTGGATTGGACATAAGTTTCTGAAAAACCCAAATAATACATGTGTAGAATATGGGTCGTTTTTTAGGTTTACTACAAAGATAAAGTAGTCCTAAGAGGCCTTAGTGGCAGGAATTCTTCTGGGAAAAGCATCTGATGGTACTAAGTCGATTAGAAGGTTTAAATAGAGGATCCACAAGCAGATCTTAGGTATGGCAATTGGTAGGTAACTATAAATAGAAATAGATATAGCGAAGCCTTTAATTAGATAATGACTAAAGTTATATGTATGACTAATTGTATTCTTGTTGTTATAACAAAGTCAAAGGATATCTATTCAGCATTCTGATAATTGATCTGAGAAGTTAATAAACCGTGCCAAACCCCAAGTAGTTACCTTAATATTTAAAAAAAAATAATAATAATAGCTTTGATATTTAAGTTTTTATATCATTTTTTCCAAGTTTCTGATTTTTCTATACTATCTTTTCTCTTTTTTCTTCTTTTGGTAGTTTATTTTTAGGCTTTTTCTCTTTTTTTTTTTTTAACTTTTCCAGTTTTCAATACTCTGCGACTAGGTTCTGATTCGAAGTTGTCTTGCTTGAATTTGTCTTCTTTGATCTTGTGGTTCTAAATCGTCTAATGCTTCTTCTTATTTTTTTGTTCTTTTAATTTGTATATTTTTTTTTCGTATGTATCTTCTTTTATTTGTTTCTTTGTGCTGATCTTCTATATTATCTGTATTTTGGCTTCCTTCCTTTTTTTTGCTTGTTTCTTTTATTTTTTTTCTTTTATCTTCTAGGCCTTTTTCTTTTTATCAGTATCTAGTGTCATGTCTTGTATATCTCTATTTTGTGCTTTTTTCTTTTTTTCAAGTACTTCTTTATTTTTCTTTTTTTTTGATTTGTTGTTTCTTTTTTTTTAAAAGATTTCTATCTATCTTAGTGTTGTTTTTTTTTTCTTTTTCTTTTCACTTTTTTCTTTGAAGCCTCAGTATTTTCTTTTTTTTCTTCTTCTACGATGATTTCTGTCTTGTTGTCAATAGGTGGTTTGTTTGTTTTTCTTTCTTGGATTTTTTTTT